TCAGATTGCGAGTCGAGCGCCCTAACCACCTGGCCATGCCGGGCCGGAGAGACCACTACCTTCCCGTAAGGGGTCCTGCTTCCTAGCTCGACGTTTAGCCCACGTACTTATAAAATGTCATTCAATTTGAAAATTTCAATTAACTATTTTAAGCGCTGAACAAATAGTTCTTTTCTTACGTTATTATTATTTTTGTTTTGTTTTGCCAAATCTGTACCCTTTTCAATATTGCGGATATTAAACCTTCCGCACCATTTACGTTTTAGAATCATCTGATTTCTAAGGTTAACAACAAAATACGCTTTATTTATTTTCTCAAATAACGTTTGTTTTACTTCTCCTTATTTGATTTTTCTAACAGACAACGTCCATAAAAACCCGAACAGTTCTGGCTTTTAACAAAACTAGATGTTCAACGAACCAAATATTTCAGGTGGATGTTTGTGGCACAATATTGAAGCAAGTTCTGCCAATAAATCACTTGTCTGTCAGCCTGGTGGTTTGTTTTCTCCAGCTCTAAAAGTTCTCGCTCGCCAGGTATGTATATGAAGTTCAAACTTTTATTACCGCTAAAAACTGGTATAAAAAGTAATAAAAACAACAACATATAATATTTGATTAAAGTCCGCCATCATTATCAGGTTATGATTCTTTACAGAAATATTGGAAACTATACAAAAAGTGAATGTATAAGAAAAACTATTTTAGATGAATAAGTAAGGAAGGTGGAAAGATACATATATTGACGTATTATTGATGTTTAGATTAGATTTTTGGATGAAGTGGTAGTCAAAAGTTGAGCAGGCTTAGCATGATAAAAATGGAAAGCCTTACGATGTCCTTAATAAATAATGGTTTAATTTACTGTTAGAATTCTCTAATCGGTATGAAATGCTAACAGCTTGTTTATTTGACATCAGTAAACGTTAGAATTCTCTAATCACTAGGAAATGCTAACAGCTTGTTTATTTTACATCAGTAAACGTTAGAATTCTCTAATCACTAGGAAATGCTAACAGCTTGTTTATTTTACATCAGTAAACGTTAGAATTCTCTAATCACTAGGAAATGCTAACAGCTTGTTTATTTTACATCAGTAAACGTTAGAATTCTCTAATCACTAGGAAATGCTAAAAGCTTGTTTATTTGACATCAGTAAACGTTAGAATTCTCTAATCACTAGGAAATGCTAAAAGCTTGTTTATTTGACATCAGTAAACGTTAGAATTATCTAATCGGTATGAAATGCTAACAGCTTGTTTATTTGACATCAGTAAACGTTAGAATTCTCTAATCGGTATGAAATGCTAAAGGCTTGTTTATTTGACATCAGTAACTTATAGAACTTCCGGTAGGACAGTACTTTAGACAGTTATTTTAAGAAACACGTGATATTCTTTAATCCTCAATTCTGAGGCCACTGAACTGTATAATACAACATGATTTTTTTTTACTTGGTACTCCTGAAAATGTGTTTGACCGACAGTATTCCCTCCTTTTTATTGACTGCAGAAAAAATAATTATATTATTACTAGTCCAATGTATTAGGATTATACTGACTCATTTTCGTTCTATTTTAATACTCTGGCGCGGTTATTGAATTAGATATTCAGAGCTCTTAATATGGATTTTTCAGGTGTTTCGGTATTTAACTGCCGAAATGAACCCAAAGTGCCTTTATACAGGTACGTATATGACTATCACTATTTTCATGATGTTAGAAAAACATGTAGGTTCAATAATTCTTGATAGAAATGAATAAATACCCTATAACCCGGTTTTTATTCATTTCTATTACTATTTTAAGATGCTTCTTCTTCTCTCTATGAAAATAAAGCACAAGGTTAATAGAAATATTTCCCTATAGAACAAATTGTTTTTCTTATAAATATATTAAACGCTCTATAATTAAGCACTTTTCAAAAGGCATTTATAATTTACTAATACCAGCCTTTATATGAATTCATATTTACAACATTTGGTAGTATGCCAAGTCTAAGTTTTATGATTCTGTTTATGTTAGAGATCGCGGCAGTTTAGAAATGCGAACAGTTATTAAGTTTATATCATGACAAAGTTATAACCACAAGAAGCGAATAGAGAGAACGTATTATACAGCGATAAAACTGACCAGGAAACACAAGTACAGATTACACGTGCACCACAATAAAATTAAACAAAAAACAGAGATTAATGTCATGATGAAATTAATTACAAAACACGAACGGAGGCTGAATTAATATTGCGATGAAAGTTACCAGATAATGAAAACACGAACAAAGTGACACCGTGGGGAAATTAACCATGAAACTGAACAAAGATTAGATTTAAGCAAGATAAAAATAACTTAGAAACACGAACAAAGATGAAAGTGACTCTGCGAAGAAATTAAATATAAAAACTGACAAAAATGAAATATATGCGAGGTAAAAATAACTAAGAAATATAAACAAAGATTAAAGTGACACCTGGAGGAAATTAACCATAAAAACAGGACAAAATTAGATTCATATCGAGAAGAAATTAAAGATATAAAATATAAACAAAGATTAAAGCGACACCTGGAGGAAACTAACCATAAAAACAGGACAAGATTAGATTGAAATCGAGAAGGAATTAAAGATATAAAATATAAACAAATATTAAAGCGACACCTGGAGGAAACTAACCATAAAAACAGGACAAGATTAGATTCATATCGAGAAGGAATTAAAGATATAGAATAGAAACAAAAGTGACACCTGGAGGAAACTAACTATAAGAAAGGTCATATCTAGAAGGAATTAAAGGAGACATAAAATATTAATGTCAAATTTTCTACAGATAACTTTTTCAACTAATCCATAAAGCATAAGATATATCTATTTGTTGAAAATGATTTTCTGATAGGCAGATGATAAAGAAGTTTCTGAAGGTTTTTGATACATAATCAGGAACATATATAACATGAGTTGTTTCCTTAAAACTGCATACCAGCATAACAGGTATGGTTTTAACCCGTTTAGAATTTGAAAATATAAAATAATTAAATAGTAATGTACAGGTAATAGCCTTCTGATATTTTTTTCCTTTCCAGGGTATTACAATATACATAATTACTTACATTCTAAATGTGCGGCCTAATGGTTAACTTGTCTGGCTGCGTATCGAAAGGTCCAGGGTTCGAAACGTAATTCGCTGAATACGCTCCACACTTTCAGCTGTTGACATGTTATAAAAATTACATTCAACCCCAACATTCATTGCAAAAACAATTGGACGAAGCTCTTATGGCGGCGGGTGCTGCACGCTAGCTAGATACATTCTCTCTGGTCATTAGTTCAAAATTAAGAAACGGCTGAACCTGAGCCGTAGGGGTCTCTGACTTGACCTTTTCACCTGTCCAGGCTGCAAGGCGCGTTGCATCATGACTGTTTTATTTTTTTCTTCTTCAGCGAACGTTAGATTACGTATTTTTAGACCTTACAGGCAACTCGTAGCTTCGTTACAGACTTAACTAAAAAATACGGGTAAAAATATATATCACTAAAATAACAAGAAAACTAGGCTTGCCTAACAATAAAACATAGAAACTACGTATGTACGTTGTGTTGGTAGTATTGTGCCTTAACAGAGTTTACTATTTTAGTGTATTTTTTACTATATCTTTTTCCTTGTTTTGTTTAGCTTAAATATAGATAAACGTATTAGGTTTATGGTTTAAGATTTATCTGTGAAGGATCTAGATTTTAAAGAACGTTGTTTTATAGTTGACTTTGGCGGAACGCTTCATTTGTGACGTTGTTTTATAGTTGACTTTGGCGGAACGCTTCATTTGTGACGTTGTTTTATAGTTGACTTTGGCGGAACGCTTCATTTGTGATGTTGTTTTATAGTTGACTTTGACGGAACGCTTCATTTGTGATGTTGTTTTATAGTTGACTTTGACGGAACGCTTCATTTGTGTTGCTGTTTTATAGTTGACTTTGG